GCCGCCTCGTGACTCCACGAGATGTTTAAAGGTGATGCGAGGAATCTGACACTGCACTATTGCCCTTCTGTTGTCTTGTACCAGTCTTGACACACTCTGTTCTTCCCTAACATTGACTACTCGCTGATGGCCACAATTCGCACGTTCAGACCCAGATTTTCAGTCTTTAAACACTTTAACAACAGCTGATCTTGAACATTTAACGAATTCTGCTGTTTTGCTGATACTCGCTCCATGGCTTGAGCGCCAACAATCATTCCACGTTCAAAGGCTGTTAAATCGCGTTGTTTACCCATATCTTCAGAAAAAATCACTTCTACTGTCATGGTAAAGAACCTGCTTCTCTATTTATAATGGTCTGGCCCTCTAGCAACTTTAGCGCGAAATTATAGCTAATTATAGCTAATTTGCCTACAAACGTCAGGTGGTCATAATAAACTGGCCACTCAGTGTATATTAGATGGGGAAAGTGACGGGGGACAGTTGGGCTTAGGTACAGTAACACTACAGTTATCCTATTTTATTTGTCTTGGTGGGATGGATAAATAATCCCTAGGCTTAGGTTATGTCAGCAGCACTGGAAGCAGCTTAGAGGAGCATTTTCTTTAAGGTAGATATTTCAGCACATTTCAAAAAGGCTCACGGTTTTCAAATGAAGGTTTGAATGCAGCAACATTTTTTGTAGGAGGATGCTTATCACTGCACTGTGTGTAAAACACATTCAAACTGCTGCATACAAGAGTTTGGGCAGATACCTGCATTGTAACATTGCCTACAATGGTAAAGAGCAGTGCTTCTGGTTTTATGCAAGTGCAGCATTCTACTAGCTTCTGAGTTGCTGATTCCAACAGTAGGACACATCTGGCAGTGTACATATTGCATTAATCTGAGCAGAGTTGGAAGCTCAGCCTTCCTCACTGGTAACTTAGCTTTCAAATTGTGAGATGTCTGTTACAAAGAGGAGAGTATTGGGAAAGTAAGGGGGTGAGGAACCAAGTGTTCCAGATAAGGATCCTACTAGACATATCTATTGACTATTGTATATTATCATGATGTTAAAGACGAGATGTAGACATCTCCTCATATCATGGCACCCAGTGCAAACACCCAAGAGACATGTTGCGAATGCCAACTATAGGCCTCGGCACTCCTACAAAATTGCCATCAAGAGGTAACACTTTTGTATTTTTGCCATATGAGGTCCACATTTTCAGTATAATCACCCTTGTCTTGTATAGTCATTCAGAACACTTTACAATTGTACTTTATGTCTTTTTAAATGGTAGGATTTCTCCTCCACCCTGATAGAGATCATTTGAGGGGGTGGAAGGGACTGAGCAAGGCTTTTACATAATTTCCTTAAGCGCCTGCAGATATGGCAATATGCTGCCAATATAAAGGGCTGTGGGCAGAGCTAGGCATGACTGTTTACTGATAGGGCTATCAACAGTGCCAACAACTAAAGATGGCCATACACTGGTAGATTTTCATACAATGTTTTATACAGTGTGGTTAGAACATTTGATAATGACATCAGAGACTTGTAGAAATTCTATTTGCTTTTAACATTCAACTTTGGAATGAATGTAGTTTCCAAAAAAACTCCACACTTTCATTTGTTTGAGCAACAAAACACCTAGGCGTTTTGCTGCTCAAAAATAAGCGACAAAGCTCTTAACACAAGAAATCTCATTCATTACAGTCGCCCCTGTTCACACCTGAGCATTTTGTCGCAAACTGTACAACGCCAAATGCTGGAAAAAGTACATAAGCTTCTTTTTGGCAGATTACAGAGTGTTGTCCCCATAGACTTCAATGGAAACACCTCGAAACACATGACACAAGTGTTTTGCACATTTCTGTGCGTGTTTTTGCACGTGTTTGTCCATGGACCGCAGTATCAATCTGGCAGTTAAAACACATGCATTCATCTAATGCAAAAAAGGCACTAAACGCGCTAGATGAAGACTAATATGCGCAAAAAACGCTGACACATAGGTGGAAGTGAATGCAGCCTTATAGATTTACCAATGTTCTAGTTGTATAAATAAAGCATAAAAGATCAGCACACATAACTTGCAATGCAATAACTTGCTACAATGTGCTTCTGACACATTAATGACTCATTATTGGCATAAATAGTGTACATATAAAATATTATTCTTGAAACATAATTACACTAAATACCAAAATAAGATTTATAAGAAAAAATTTGATTTTTTTGGACAGCGTGTAAATACTTAAACTCACGTGCAGCAGCAAAGCCGAGGGGAGGATTTGCTGTTCCCTCCAATGGCTGCAGAGAAAATGATTTCATGGAGAGTACGAAAAATCCTATTTTGTTCTATTTCTTTCATTGGAGGACACAGATCATCACATACTGGGATGTCCCAAAGCAGTGTCAGAGCAGTCCAAAAATAAAACAGAAAACCATGCTGTCTCAAAAAAGAAAATGATACAGCTCCATCAGACTGTTGCCTGTAAAACTTTATGTCCAAAACTGAAATCAGCTGATGCTGCAGATACAGTGTGTAAAATATGGTGAGCTTATGAACTGATGGCCAAGTGGCTGCCTTATAAATCGGAGAAATTGATCCTTAATGGCGAAAAGCCATTAATGGAGCACTTAATGTTTTCCTAAAATGCACTGTAACCAGAAACAGTGGTTCCCAGTGGTTGATAGCAATGCTTGGAGAATAGTTTGCCAGATCCAGTGTGAGCATGGGCCCTCTACAACCACAAACAGGGAATCTGATCTACGGAACCTAGAAATGGCATTCAAATATACCCTAACCATCCTGACTACAGCCAAAGAATGCAAGGCAAACCTCCCTGGGGTGGACCAACTTGGGACAAAGTGATGATGGCACAATGTCTTCATTTAAGCAGAAAGCTGATACCACTTGAGGCAAAGAGTCTTGGACGTAAGATGTCCTTATCCTTATGAAAGACCAAAAATGGAGACTTGAGTGGCAATGCCGCCAGCTCAGAGACTCATCTGGAAATGTACATTTCTGAGACAGAGTTACAAAAGGAAACTCCCTAATATCTTCTAAAGGTGATTTTGTAAAACTGACAATACCAGATTTAAGTCCCCATAGTAACAATGGTGGCCTGACTGGAAGGGCAAGGTGTATAACGCCCTGAATAGGCGCGATCAAGTGGCAGCTATGCTGGAGGATGCTGAAACGGGACCCCCAAAACTGACACCTGACCCTTATTTGTGCTTAAGGCCAACTGATCTACCCCACACTGGAGAAAAGCCAGGAGATAACCAATAAGGAAGGAGCAAGGATGTACTCCTAGGCACTCACACCATGCAAAATAAAGTTTTCCATGTATGAAAATAAATCTAGCGAGACATGGGCTTGTGACCCCTAAACATGGTGTGGATGAAGTTGTCCAATAGCCCTCTCTCCTTCAGAACATGGCTTTAAATAGACAGCAGCTGTAAAGCAAGGTACTAAATGGGCCCTTGAGACAACATCTCTTCTCAAAGCAGACGTGAAAGACAGTCCAGACAAGCAAGATCCATGTACGATAACTTCCTGGACCAATCCAAAGCCACCAGGAACCCCATCCAATAAAGTAAACGTGGCAAAAGTTTTAATGGTAAATGTCAGAGTGTAGCAATGCTACCAATGCGTCCACCACATCTACCTAGGGACCTTTACCCTTTCTACAAACCTGCCCACCTTTCATTGAAAGTTTGATGCCAGAAGATCATCATCTGGTGTTCCCAATCATAGACAGATTTGTTGGAAGGCCTCTGGATAAAAGGCCCGCTCTCCCTGATCCAGACCATTTCAACTGAGACAGTCCACTTGCCAGTTTTTTTTACCCCTCTTATAAATACCGTAGACACAGCTGGCACGTGACTCTCTGGCCAGTTCAGGATGTTAGACAGTTGCATCACTGCCACTGTGCACTTGATCCTCCCCTGATGATATCTGACTGCACTCTCACATGTGTACCTCAAGAGAAGCACAGCCCATTTAATCACCTGAGGTTCCAGCACATTGGTGGGGAAGAGGGACCACTCCTGGCTGCATGAACCCAGAATGGACTCCTACCCAGTCACACGTCCCATGTTAGAGGAGAAGAGAAGAAATTACATCAGCCAAAATAAGGATGCAGTTGTCTGAAAAGTTACTCGGATCTTCCTGTCCAGAGAACACATGTTCCACTGCAACATGCTCTTGTGCTGCAACTTCCTGGTGTGGTGCAAACCGGAAGTTCTAGTTTCCACAGCTTTTTAGACAGGAGGAACACCTGGGCCTGGTTGGTGTCCAAGATCAGCCCCATGTACTTCAGGCAGAGTGATAGAAAAAGGTACATGTGTGTCAGGCAAATCTTTAATCTGAAATGCATCACCGACCGATCATCGTGCACACCAAACTCCTTCTCCTAATCATAACTAAAACCTTCTCCTGAAGCTCAGTTGATGTGGACACTTCATTGTTGCTCCCCAAGAAGGCCAAGCCTTGCATCTGACTCCTCATTAGGTGCCAAGACTGCACCTGCTGCCTGGCAAGACTCCTCCTTGAACTCCTCGTGGGCACAGGGGAGGGAGAAGGGCGTGTCTTACAAAATGCCCACTGAACACAATTTGAAAAAAATCACATTTCTCCCCTCTCCAAACCCCCAGAAGGACATTGTGACAGACCACGTACCTGGCCGGTTATATGTGCCCCAGGTAAAAAAAAAAACCCACAAGCGGCTCATAATGCAGTGAAAGGGGTGGTTGTAGTTGAACCCACATAGAGCACAAAAGTGCATGCGCTTGATGGCTGGAATTGTGGAGACTACCAGGGCACTATTTAGGGGCTGCATAGGCTTTTAAACCACAAAAAAAGAAATCACATTAGATCATAGAAACAAAATAAAACCCCGATATTGCTCACACTGAAACAGTACACACTAAAAAACAACCAACAAATTATTATCTACTAGGTACAACACTGCACAGGGAATAAACATATAGAAAGGTTATCTTTTACCTTCTTTGCCACCCATTTGGCTGGCTCCTCACCACGAAAATGTTGACTGCCATATGGGATCCTCTTGTATTCAGTCGATGTGTGAATTAATGGTTCATAGGGTTTATTTTTATGTAGGCTGGCAAATGGAGAAAATCTGGAAGCAATATAAAATTAATTAATGAATAAATGAACAAACAGGATCTCTACATGACCAATACATCTGAATGGATAAAGTTAGGGCTAGTGTACACAAGCATTTGATATGATTTTATCATGTACACTATAAGGCCAAAAGTATAAGGACAAGCCTCCAAATGATTGAATTTGGTTACTTCCATTGAAAGATACTGTTAATGCTACCATATACAAAGACATTTTAGACAAGTGTGCGCTTCCTACCTTGTGACAACACTTCAGTGAAAGCCCTTTTCTGTTCCAGTGCGACTGTGTCCCTGTGCACAAAGCCAGCTCCATAAAGACATGTTTTTTGAGTTGTTGTAGAGGAATTCAAGTGGCCTGCGTGTACTCTTACCCTGATGTACACATTTGGAATGAGCTGAAACACTGATAGTGAGACCCATATATTTTTCATTCAACATCAGTACCTGATCTTCCCACAGACACAATCCAAAATCTTGTGAAAATTTCACCAGATGGGTGGAGGCTGCAAGGGGGCCAACTCCACAATAATTCCCATGGTTTTGGAATGTGATGTCCAACAAGCTCATATACATGAGCATATAGTATATTTACCATTCATGCACATTTACTTGTATTTAGGGATAAAAGCACTGCACAAACTAATCTCAAACTGTGCTCCGCTGGTGGCACCAGGCTATAGTCTGTTGCAGAGATTTGAAACAGAGTGCCGCTGCTATTTTTGGGCGAGGTGTTGAAGACAGTGGACACCATTGGGGATCTCATAAATACCATGAACGCAGAGGAGGAAGCCATCGTCATATTCTTTCTGATGACTTTAATATGACGTTCCCCTACGGCATAATCTTTTAAACGGGTCCAGCAAGTTGAAGCTGTACTCCAAGCAGGTATAAAAAACACTCCAATTAATCCAGTTATGTACTTAATAAAACATGTTTTCACTTATTTTTACACAGAACTAGAATAAGTACATTTAATTTTGCTATATACTAGCATCATGAAACCTCTCTGAGCCAGTCAGGTCTCTACTTTCTTTAATTGTGTTGTCAGACTAAAAAGTCTGATCATGCTCACCAAAGGAGAGTGCAGTGCTGACCACATCACAATGCTGTTTTTTTCCAAATTGGCAAAATGGTTAGTCCCAAGAAAATTGCGGTCATCAACTGGACTATACTGTTTGGAAGTGGAGCCTGGATCACAAAACTGGCTGAACATAATTACAAATCCCTCTGCAGGTAAAACAGTTGCATTTCGTCTGTGCATCTGTTTACCAGAAGTTCAGCTTCAAATGTATGCTACTAAGTGCTAATAAGCAAAAGCTCATATTTACTTTAATGAGACAGTGTCCCGTTTCCCTGTCAGGGCAGAGGGACACATTCTCCTGACATACTGATAGCAAACCAGCCCACCCTGCAAGGTATACTCACCCATCTATGCTCCTGTTTGCCTTCCCTCTGCTCCACCCTGGGCAAGCCTTGGTGTCAGACATAGTCAGAGTTTACCAAAGTTGATGATATTACTACTGTAATCATTACAAACTTTACAATTGACTATAGTACAGGTTTTTTTTCCTTACGTGTGTGTGCAGGATCATCACGTCTAAATTACTGTGAATAGTGTAAAATATATATATATAAATTCCACAATTAAACCTAGTTAATTTAGCTTTAAATTATACAACAGCGCGGAAGCATGTAAACCCTCGCGGGATCGGCAGCTCTCATACAAGACAGATTACGGTACTTGCAATGCTAATTTGCACATGGGATGGACATCAGTGAAAAAAATTAATGTGGCCCCAATGTCCCTGAGTATACAGAAGAGCTGCTGTGAGCCGGCTGCCGCACTTACAATTTTTATCACTTCTCAATTGCATTTTAATAGTACATTTTTCTTGTGTGTCGACATGAAAGAAAATTTGCCATCTCTCGGGATGTTATGGCTGAAGAGCTGTGGCAGGCAACGGAGGAATCAAGCTTAAACATTGACGTTATGGGTAGCTAAATTACATTGTATGGCAAGGGGAAGACTGCGTCTGGGCTTATCATATCCTTTTGTGCAGCATTCCAAAAGATACACTTAACAGAAAACATATTTACTTATTTTTGTACACTAAGGTGTAGCAGCTGCAGTATGAGAACAAGTGCCTATGAATAAAAAAGTTTGAAAAAAACCCTAGTTCCCAAAAAGTTGGGACGCTGTGTAAAATCTACAGAATGCATTGATTTGAAAATCTCATACATGTTATTCATAGTATAAAACATATCAAATGTTTAAACTGAGAAAATGGACCATTTTAAGAAAAAAATAAGGTAATTTGATAGCGGCAACACATGTAAAAAACGCTGGGACAGGGCCATGTTTACCACGGTGTAGTATCCCCTCTTCTTTGAACAACACTCTGTAAACTTCTAGGAACTCAGGAGACCAATTGCTGGAGTTTTAGGAGAGGAATGCTGTCCCATTCTTGCCTGATCTAGGGCTCTAACTGCTCAACAGCCCTGGGTCTTCTTTGTCATATTTTTTTAGTTCAAGATGTGCCAAATATTTTCAATTGGTGAAAAGTCTGAACTGCAGGCAGGCCACTTAAGCACCCAGACTCTTCTACTACGAAGCCATGCTGTTGTCATAGATGCAGTATGTGGTTAAGCATTGTGCAGCTGAAATATGTGAGGCCTTCACTGAAAAAACATTGTCTGGATGGGAGCATATGCTGCTCTAAAACCTGAATATATCTTTCAGCATTGATGGTGCCTTTCCAGATGTGCAAGCTGCCCACTTCATACACACTAATCCCCCCCATACCATCAGAGATGCAGGCTTTTGAACTAAGCACTGATAACAAGCCGGATTGTCCCTCTCCTCTTTAGTCCGGAGGACGTGGCATCTATGGTTGCCAAAAAGAATGTCAAATTTCGATTTGTCTGACCACAGAACAGTTTTCCACTTTGCAACGGACCATTTGAGATGAGTTTTGGCCCAAAGAAGATGGCAGCTTTTCTGGATCATGTTCAGATATGGCTTCTTCTTTGCATGATAGACCATTAACTGGCATTTTTGGATGGCACAGCGAACTTTTTCAGTCAGTGATTTTTGGAAGTATTCCTGAGCCCATGCAGTGATGTCCATCACAGAATCATGCCTGCTTTTAATGCAGTGCCGTCTGAGGGCCCAAAGACCACGGGCATCCAATATTGAGTTTCGGCCTTGTCCTTTGCACACAGAGATATCTGCAGATTCTGAGAATCTTTTGATGATATTATGTACTGTGGATGAGGATATATTTAAAGTCTTCGCAATTTTGCATTGAGGAACATTATTCTGAAATTGTTCAACAATTTTTAGACGCAGCTATTTACAGATTGTTGAACCTCCGCCCATCTTTACGTCTGAGGCACTCTGACTCTCTAAGGTGCTCTTTTTTATACCCAATCATGTTACTGACCTGTTGCAAATTAAACTAATTAGTTGCAAAATGTTCTTCCAGCTCTTCCTTGTTAGTACCACTTACTTTGCCAGCTTTTTGTTGCCCTGTCCCAACTTTTTTGAGACGTGTTGCTGCCGTCAATTTCAAAATTACCTTATTTCTTACTGAAAAGGGTAAATTTTCTCAATTTAAACATGATATGTTTTCTATGTAGATTTTACACTGCGTCTCAACTTTTTTGTAATTGGGGTTGTGTATATATATATATATGTATATATATATATATATACACACATACACATGTGAAAAGTAAACGATAATTGATTTTTTCAACATATTTGAACCAGCAAACAATAGTTCTTGCCCATGGCTGTAAGTGCATTCCTGGCTGCTATAGCACTCCTTCAGCCGACTTCATATAGAAATGGTCACTGCTACACCCTGACACCCCACTGCCATGTATTCGAAACCCAGCTGCCCATCCTGCGTACCTGGGATAGCCATGGTGGGTGCAGGTGAATGGAGACCAATTCACCAGCTGATTTCTGTTATTTATTTGCTTAAGAACATTCAAACAGAACAGAAAATAGCCTAAGGACATTACATTTTGCCCCATTCTCACTACTTCTGGTTATTTCACACAGAAGTAGTTTTGCTGGAGGAATAGCTATGCAAAGTTTTAATAAACAGGCCCCTATGTGTGGTACACTTAGGCTGGGTTCACACCTGGGCGTACGGAATATGCGCGTTTGCCGCGATTTGCGGTAAAAGAAACGTGCGACGAATGCGCGTTTCCGAGGGCTATTCGGCTGTACTTCTTTGGGCGTAGGGCGTTTTTCAGCGCGTTCCTACGCGCTGTAAAACGCCCAGGTGGGAACCATGCCCATAGGCAATTATTGTTTTTCACATGTTGAGCGTTTTACAGCGCGTAGGAACGCTCTGTAAAATGCCCAGGTGTGAACCAGGCCTTAGGGGTTACATCTACGTTAACGCTCAGCTAACTGCTGTGTATGTTTTACATATAATATATCACCAAATTAATTTATCATTCTATAAGAGAGAACTGAATTGATCGTTCTCTGAAAGGAAAAATTATGACCTCTTTTTAACAAAATGAGAGGTGAAGAACACTTAGAACTTCTTAATTATACAAAGTCTTAATATCTCCATCCCAAGTGTTATAACGAACCATAACATCATTAGAAAAATTAAGCTGGGAAAATGAAGGCAACGCTTTGTAAATATCCAGTGGAAATTGGCTAAAAAGGCAGCGTAATGCAGGATCAAAAGAGGGGAATGATCCTTAACAGTGCCCTAGGGCACCCACTTTCACAGTATTATATCCACAACGACTTACGGCTTGTATGGAGAATTTTCTATTAAATGGGGTTAGATCATTTGCCATTTTAACTTAAAAGCGCTCTTTTGATTATGAAATTTTCTACAGCGAAATTAAAATGACTGCTAAAGCCATAAGAAACAGTTACGGTGGAGTGATAATCTAGCTGTAAAGCCCAACAGAACTTTCAGTTAAATCAGCTAAATACATTCCAGGTGAATCAATACAAATGGTGCACAAAGTCTTAAGGTGCCCATACACTGCTCGATTCTCGTACGAGAATCGGGCGAAATCTCGCGATCGTACAAGAATCGAGCAATGTGAACTAAGACGTGCGACCGCTTCTACTGTACGGTCGCACGTCTTTTGTCGAGCCAACATGTTCGAAAACCCGCCTGCTCGCCCGATAGCTGCGGAACGGGCCAGTGTGCGCATGCGCACACTGCCCGTTCTGCATTGCCGTCATCGTTTTTCGATGATCGCAAGTACGATCTGCCCGTCCAAGGTGGGCAGATCGTACGGGCTTTCAAGAAGCATACGACCATTGCAAGACAAAAGTCTTGCGATGGTCGTAAGGTGTATGGGCACCTTTACAGTTTGATTTTTTTTTTTTTAGAACACAGCTGCAGCCTGAGTAGAAAGTCTGTCCCCTGCCAGCATGCTGCAGAGAAGGACCCATGCTCTCTGTGTGGAAGCAGTGCTCTCTCTGTGGAGGTGCAGCCCTCTCCCCCACTGAGTCAATCAGCAGGGATAATGAGCTTTGGAGATCACTATTTATACTTATTATAATCACTTTTGGGGTTTACTTTTTTTTTTTTCAAATAGCATAGGGAAAGGTTGGAACTCCTGACAGCTGTTTCATTGGGAAGAATTCCCTTCACTTCCTGTCCCAGAGACATAACTGAAAGTAAGAGGAAATCTCTCCAAGGTGCAGGGTAATCCTCTCTTAGATAGCTGTCATTGGAATAGGTTCCCCATTAGAAGATTCCTGTCACCAGGCAAATAAAAAGGCTGAACATAGATATACTGTAAATGTAGAGTTAAGATTTGCTTTAATGCTACAAAGAAAGCAGAGACTTCCTGAAGCACTCCATATCAGCTTTGTTTTCTACTCCCAAGTTTAGTCCCCTTAACCAGTGGCTTTACTTCTGATTGGTTCACTTATCTGTATAAATGGATGGTCTTCTTTGAATTCCAGATATACCACAGAGGCAAAGACACTGGTTCACCAACCAAGATTGAAAGACGGTTTTAGCTGGGTTATACTTACTACACTATATGGCCAAAATTGGACACCCCTCCAAAACAATGAGTTCTGGTACACAAAGCCAGGTCAATAAAAACAGTGGCCTGCAGAGAACCCTGACCTTAACCCTACTGAACACATTTGGGATGAATTGGAACACCATTTGTGAGCCAGGTCTTCTTGACCAACATCAGTACCTGAATTCACAAATGCTCTTTTGGCTGAATGGGCAGAGATTCCTACAGGCACACTTCAAAACCTTGTGGGCTTTCTCAGAAGAAAAGCTCATATACAAGTAGGTGCGATGGTTCCATGTCTACAATAGTTTGGTCATTTAGTGTATATTTGTTAGTCATTCTATTACCCAATGAACAGTTTACCTGTGGAGGTCCTGGAGCCTACATTAATTATTTGCTACACTTAGAACCTTTCTATTTTTATTTTTTTTACAATAACAGTTCCTGATTTTCTGTAAAAAAAATAAAAATCCACTTACATGTCATCCTGAAAGCCCTTTGTCCACTCCTGCCATTTTATCACCTTTCGGGCTTCTTCCACAGAAGTGAATGATGTGGCCACTCTCAGGGTTGGCTCCAGTGGTCTGTAACGCTGCTGCAGTACTTCACCAACATCACGGAATGGCCCCTGATGGGTACGATATTGTATTAACATTTTATTGTAAACAATACTCCATTGTATTGCACAAAGCAGTATAATATGACCTGTATTAGGTGTTTACCCCTTGGGTGATGACACCACACCCCTAATATATGAAAAGTGATTGTTTACACCAATCACTGAACAATCATTATTGCACAAAGCAGTGCAGCAACATTTCTTCGCCAGTCAAGACTGGTTCTCCCTAAAGCAAAAGTGCACTTATAAAGCATTTTTTGGGGTTTTTACAGTTACAGTTGTGCCCTTTAATAAGCCATTCTGGGAAACAAGTCAGATTGGTTGGTAAAGTATGTGTATATATTATACAGTACAATTACTAAAAAGTGAAGAGGTACATAGAAAGTTGCAGAGCTCAGGCTCCAAATCAGGATCTCTCAACCAGGAGCTATGTGAGCGGTCCCCAAGGGTTCTGCAGATTCATATTTACCCAACGGTGGCTTTAGTGTTCCCCCTGCTGGCTATCATTTTGGAGGATTCATGTACTGATGGTGCCTTTAATTTCTACAGTGTGTATCACCATGGCGGACTGATATCTTCCCAACTGTACCCTTTGAGAGACCTCCAGTCCCTCAGGTAAATAAGATATGATGGATACGGAAAGCAGTGATACCACTGCAAAGTAGTTTTACCACTAAATACCAATGAGAGCAGGGGTTGTGGAATTTTTTTTAAAAACTACTTGTCCAAGGGCTAAAGCGGGGGCCGAATCTACTTGTCCTTCATGACAATCTATTTGTACCAATACAAAAAAATAGTTTTAATCAAAACTAGGGATGCACCAATACCGTTTTTTTGGGTATCGAGTACCGATATTTTGCTTTCGATGCTAGCCGATACCAAATACCAATACCGGTGCTTCCTCTGGCATGGAGCAGGCTTCCCGGGTAATCAGGAAGCCGAGCAGCGGGTAATGACATGCCGTCCTGCTTCTTGATTGCAAGGGAAGCCAGCTCCATGTTGTTTGGACTGCTTGATTGTGATTGGCTGGGAAACCGGCTTCCCAGCCAATCAGCATCGAGCCGGCTTCCAAGCCAATCAGGAAGCTGGGTGGTGAGTAATGACCTGATTGACCGGGAAGTGGCTCCATGCTGATTGGCTGCGAAGCCGGCTTTCCAGCCAATAAGCAAGGAGCCAGCTTCCCAGCTAATCAGGTCATTACTCACCACCCAGCTTCCTGATTGGCTAGGAGGCAGGTCATTACTTCCCGCGCGGCTTCCTGATTGCACGGCAAGCTGGCTCCATGTTCCCCTACGGCACTGCCGGTCAGAGGAAATTTTCCTCTGGACGTAAGTCCCAGTATCGGGGCATCTGGGGGAGTACAAGTACTCGCCCAAATACTCGGTATCGGCACTGATACCAATATTGGTGCATCCCTAATCAAAACGTATTTGACTGTGCTAAATAGCGCTTCTCACTGGTCAGCGTGGTCACATGACCAATGAGTGCTTGCAATTTGTGAGTGAAATTCAAAATGCAGAGGGCAGGACTGCGCTGGACAGCAGTACGGTGAACAGATAGTACACCCGTATGGGTGGAGGAGAGGGACTGTTCGCAGAAAGTTAAGTATAGCCGGGGGGAGGAATTGGGAGAGACAGGGACAGCTTTTATTGGGTAATTCCATTTTCCCATATTACCTGGGAAAGTGAACTTACCCTTTAATGCACATTGAGAGCTCTGCTGTCTGGCTACCACAGTGGAATGGCAGCAGCACTCAACGCACACGCACAATGTCCTACGCGTGCATTTCTTTGCATGCAGATGGCGGGGGCAGCGGGGTTGGTTTTATTTTTTATATATTATTGTTTACATTATCACTTTTATTTTTACATTTTTTATATATTTTATTAATTCTTACTTTTGATTCATTTTTAATTCCCCCCCCCCCCCCCCCCC